AAAAAAAAAAAAAATTGGAAAACATAAAACCACCAAAACAACAAGAAAACCAACTCATTGAAAAGGAGGAAAATTGGCGCGAGCGGTGGGGGTGGAAAAGGTTTTTCTGGGAAAATTTTTGCCATCAAACAGGAGTAAAGGTGGAAAATGAAAAAACATTTCCAACTTCCATGGAAATTTTTACAATCAAACGGGGCCTTAAACTTTGTCAAATCTAGTCTATTTAAACGTATGTAATAAGCTCTTGTTTAGTATCCATTATTTTCAATATATATATTTTTTTATCTCTTTTTCAATCACACATTTTTCAATAAAATAATATTACACGTAAATTCAAAATTTTTCCTTATTTTTTAATCACACATTCTTTCTCAAATTACTATTTCAAAATGCAATTTTTAGCAAAAAAATTGAGCTCAAAGAGGCTCTAAATATCTATGAATATAATGCGAAAGAAAAGTCGAAATAATATAATAAAAAAGAGGAATTTTATAAGCTAAAGCATAAGAGATGACGAGGTGGCTGAAAAGTAGGCAACTCCCGTTTAGGATGTCTCATTACTTTATTTATTTCATGTGCTAACCATGTTATGTTGTGGTCCAATATTTGCTTCTCTCTTTAGAAAAAAGCTCTGAAAATGTCAAAGAACATTGTACACAGACTTTTCTTTTTCAATCTCTCTTACCTGATGCACACGGAAGGAAGTAGCTAAGTTGCCTGACATCATGTCTCTTGAAATCTGGCTAATTACACAATAACAACTCATTTGAGAAGACCCGTCTTAAAATCTGACTATGCATTTGAGCTTTAGACGGACTAATTGCTCATTTAAGTTTTTCGAGCCGTAACATCATATTGAGTTTTTCGGTTCCGATGCAAGAATTTACTGGTTCATTGTATTATCTATTCCACCCCACCCATACCTCGATCCTGAAAAGCGGTGAGATGGGGCAAGTGGGGGAGTTCTTGTGCTTCGAAAGATGACGTAAATATATTATGGAAGATAAAGGTGAAAGCTACAAATCGACGAAGAGTGTCTCAAATCTCAACA